TTGTTATGGCAACGCTATCTTATCCTTCTTTCTTGGCACTAAAAACTGTGAAAATGCTATCTGAAACGCCTGATCGTACAGCAAATAGATATTATTTTTACAGTTTTTAGTACCAAAAAATAAGGATAACATATCGTTGTTATAGCAACGATCTGTTATTGTCTATGTTACCGCAGAATTAGCACCTAGATTTTACAATCAGCATAAATTACTTAATGCTTTTTATTATAATAAACAATAGACAAATCTTAATATTCAATTAATAAATATAGTAACTTACGAGAAATTGTAATTTCCGATTAAAGATAAATGTTGGGCATTTGTTACAATATATTTTAATTTTTTTAAGTAAGACTTCTTTAGCCGCGACTAGGGCGTAAATCCGTACAAATTCAACGGAAGTGCGTTACGGCAGATAAGATTCGTCATTCGCTCTCGATAATATAGTTTCTATGCGGGTCGATTGTGATTAGCCGTCGTGTATGTGAATAGAGATCTGTCGTTGTATGCGTACCGGCATCAACGTTGTATACGTATCGATATCAACAAGCAAATCGACATAGACAGATAAATAAACATTTTAAAGTTACATCGTAGTACAAAAGATGATTTAATGAAAAATGTCTGAATCAGAAGAATATTTTACCCTATTTCTTAATATTTTACCCTGTTTTTTAGAAATTATTTCTATATTATTCGTAGTTTCCATAAATCTTATTATAGCTATTAAAATGGAAAATATTTTTCTGGTAAGACTTTGTACAGTAGCAAATAAGTTTTACTTCAATCGCGTGTGAACCTTACGCGCACTCTTTTTTTAATTCCAAAGAAGGACTCTATAGATCACTAAGTATTTATTAATTACACATTAACCCAAGTCAGTATTGAGTCAAATATCCTCTAAATTTTGGACTTTGGGGCACATTTTTAAAAGCAAACAATATACTAAACATTAAGAGACCGATTCTGCCTCATAACAGAAAAATGTTATGACAAGGCCATGTTACCATAAATTAAGCTACTGAATCATACGGAATACTGTCAAAATGTCATGTATTTGCTGTGCATTCAGGCGTTTTACACATAAACTGCAACTTCACTCGTGTGTTATGAAGCTGGGTCAGAAAGACCTTGACATCTAAGATCGTTTTTTTGACATTTGTGTGGTTTCTCAGTAAGGTTTTCTATCTGACAACAAGAGAAAAACGCCTGACTGCATGGATTTTGTAAATATTTAGTATGGAAAGTTCTTCATAGCATAGCCTTGCCATAACATCCCTAGTAGAAATGTATCGTGGCTAGAGGGGTAAAATATCGTGGCGCAATATTCGAATCTTGTCTTTAAATGGACCGGACAATATTTGTTTTCAAAATTATGGAAAACTTGGAAAATTCATCGGAAAAGTGTTTTATATGGTTTATTACAAATAATAAACATGTTTTCCATCTGATTTACGCCTCTAATTCTATATTTACACGAATTATACATAATTTTTAAATGTGGGCGAAATCCAAGTTTTTTGTGGCCGACCAAGATTCATTTCTTCAGTATTATCGAACTTGGGAAATATGTGGTATTTATAAGGGTCACGAAAAAAATTAACTTTAGATAATTAATTAGCACAAAAATCATGATTAAAGCTTTTAAAAAGTCATATGCTCGATCGCAATTGCTAGTTTGATACATTTTTCTTACAAATTCAATATAAATTTTAAATGTGGGGGTTATGCATTTTCTTTCTGGGCAACCACGATTCGTTTCTTCAGTATTATCGAACTTGGGAAATATGTGGTATTTATAAGGGTTACGAAAAAAAATAACTTTAGATAATTAATTAACACAAAAATCATGATTAAAGCTTTTAAAAAGTCATATGCTCGATCGCAATTGCTAGTTTGATACATTTTTCTTACAAATTCAATATAAGTTTTAAATGTGGGGGTTATGCATTTTTTTTCTGGGCAACCACGATTCGTTTCTTCAGTATTATCGAACTTGGGAAATATGTGGTATTTATAAGGGTTACGAAAAAAAATAACTTTAGATAATTAATTAACACAAAAATCATGATTAAAGCTTTTAAAAAGTCATATGCTCGATCGCAATTGCTAGTTTGATACATTTTTCTTACAAATTCAATATAAATTTTAAATGTGGGGGTTATGCATTTTTTTTCTGGGCAACCACGATTCGTTTCTTCAGTATTATCGAACTTGGGAAATATGTGGTATTTATAAGGGTCACGAAAAAAATTAACTTTAGATAATTAATCAACACAAAAATCATGATTAAAGCTTTTAAAAAGTCATATGCTCGATCGCAATTGCTAGTTTGATACATTTTTCTTACAAATTCAATATAAATTTTAAATGTGGGGGTTATGCATTTTTTTCTGGGCAACCACGATTCGTTTCTTCAGTATTATCGAACTTGGGAAATATGTGGTCTTTATAAAGGTCACGAAAAAAATTAATTTTAGATAATTAATTAGCACCAAAGTAATGATTAAAGCTTTTAAAAAGTCATGTCCTCGATCGCAATTACAAGTTTGATACATTTTTCTTATAAATTCAATATAAATTTTAAATGTGGGGGTTTTGCTTTTTTTTTCTGGGCAACCACGATTCGTTTCTTCAGTATTATCGAATTTGGGAAATGTGTGGTCTTTATAAGGGTTACGAAAAAAATCAACTTTAAATAATTAATTAGCACCAAAATCATGATTAAAGTTTTTAAAAAGTCATATGCTCGATTGCAATTAATAGTTTGATATATTTTTGTTATAAATTCAATATGAATTTTAAATGTGGGGGTGATACATTTTTTTTCTGAAATTATATTGAAAACCAATATAAGATTAATATAAATAAACAATATTTACCCCAAATTCAAAATTATTATTTTAACCCATATTTAAAAATATTATTTAATTCATATAGAAAACAGAATTTAACTCATTGATAATATCTTAGGTAATACATAGCTCGATCAGCTCGATCGTAATTAATAGTTTGATATAAATTTTATATGAATTCAATATAAATTGTAAATATTATATTCACATTTATTTTTTCTTTATTATCGAACATTTACATTGGGAAATAAGTAACATTTACATTGGTCAAGAAAATAATCAATTTTAAATCATAAATTAGCGCCAAAAACATCTATGGTGACTCTTAAAAAACATATTTTTGAGAATTAATTAATTAATAGCTAAATTAATTAAATCCATTATTAAACGTGAAGATATGCAAAAATTTTCATTTTCGATATTCGTCTCATTACTATAACTACCCTACGGGAAGTTAAAAAAGCAATAAATAATTTAACTATATTGTATTTATTTATTAACTATATTATTTAACGATATTTTAAGTATGGCCATCATTCAATAAACAAAACAAAAACAAAATTATACAAGATTATAATAGTGCAAAAGTATCAGAATATATATATTAAATTTAAATAATGTGAGTAAACGAGAAAAAAATGTAAACAAAATGTTTGATAAAAAAACAAAACTTCGAATAAAATAAAAGTTAAATAATAAAATTTTGTGATTAGTCACATGCCTTGCTTAAATTTGTTTTACCCTGGTTTGGTATGTATTAATATTATTTAAATCTGTTATATCTGCTAGTAATATATCGATTTATATTTATAAATTTAGACGTTTTATATTTATTCATAGAATAAAAATTTCTGAAATTGCATCATATATACATGTATGTATGACCATACCATATATATGTACGAACATCTGTTTTTGAGAAACTACTCAAGAGTGTCTCTTCTTTCTTTCATATAACCGATGTTTGTATAAGACTATCTCACTTCGTGTACGATGCGAGTCCTTTCTTCTATGCGTGTCCTTTGTCCTACGACGAAATATTCTACCTGACTGTGTCAGTTGTGGCCAAAATTATTTTATACGTATTTTATGAACAAATATTATGTCATTGCACTTTTGTTTTATCTTTTTGATAGCAATTATTATTTATATTACTATACTAGTTTATTATTTATATTAATGTTATTTAAGAGTAAAAGTTTAATTAAAAAATTAACTTAAATTCAAACGAAGATTTTTTTAAATTTATTATTGTGTACATAGAAAAGAGTGTGATTATAAAAAATGTTTGTTGGTTAGTTCTTGAAGAAGGAAAGAATCCATAAGCCCAAAACGTAGAATAAAATAAGTGAAATATTAATTTTGTTTTGTGAAGATAAAATTTATTTTATATAATTCAGAAAAAAAATCAATAATAAATCTAAATATTTAAAATTTTATAAATATAAACATATTTGATATAATAATAATTAATGGCGTTTTTATTAATTTCGTTTTGAACATTTTCTAACTAACGTTTCACAGATTATGTAATTTACTAACTATCTCATATTGAAATGAATGAAAAAAGAGTTATATATAAACTTTGTTATATATAAAGTTTTTTTTAATGACTACTACACTGAATAAACTAATAACGACAAATTAATGAGCGTATACTTCGTAACATAAAATACAAAAACATAAAAACCGCCCTTTGATTAACAATGCTACACCTACACCATCAAACAAAGCGCAAGCCAAGCAGAGTTTCGTAATTTTCAGTAGACTGAAATTTGTTACGCAGTGCGTTTAGCAATTTTTGTTGAATTTAGAATTTGTTATAATATTAAAAAATATTCATAAAATATAGTAAGTCTTAGTTCGTGAATTTTGAGTGAATATTTAGTGAATAATAAAATGATCTATGATATCAAATATATAATAATTTGCTAAAAACTTATTTTGTGAACAGTTTATAATTAAAATTAAGCGGTTAAATAACGTAATTTTGAGTTTTATATTTAAAGCACGTAAGTATATTTATTACTTATATAAATCAACATACATATTTAGTAAACAATGATGTATTTTATATATTCTAGATTGACTAAATTGAAATGGATATAAAATCAGCTGTAATATAAAAACTATCACATAGCAAGAATGGATTTGGTAAAAGGTAATAAAAATATTAACAAACTTATTAAATGAAGACTTTTCAATAACTTATTATCGCTTTTGAATATTTGGTATTCGTATTTCCAACAATAGTTTTTTTGTTTTAATTTGAAACTATAATTGAGCTGTTTTAAATTAATGTTAAAATTTTCTATTTACTGTATTTTTAATTATTTCAGATTTGACTGTGATAGAGTTCTAGAAAATATGAGTTTTAGATAAACTACAATTATATTTACTGCAAAATAATGCCTGAAATGTTTTTTTTGCTAAAAGCTAAGTAATTGAATTTATGAGTTTATAAAATCAATATATTTCGAAAATATTGCTATAAAATATTAATAAATTTTATCTTATTTCAGGTGTAATCATGATCGAATTCAAGAAAATGTTAAAACATGTGTGAAAATAAAAAAAACATCGAAATAATAATTAAGTCTGCAAATTGTTTGAATGGCTTGGTCTTTGTACAATTACGGCGATAGGATTAACAAAAATTATGATTATAATTTATCATTAAAATCCTCTAAATTATTATAATGACTGAAAATATTTTGATTGTTTTGTATCTTGTTATCATAAAATAATGTGTAAATTGTTAATAAAGATATCAAGATTCAATACATAAACTATTTAAAAATGTATGTATTCATTTAGAATAAATAAACTTTTATTATCAATGAGTTAAATACTGTTTTTCTATATAAATTAAATAATATTTTTAAATGTGGGTTAAATAATAATTATGAATTTGGGGTAAATATTGTTTATTTATATTGAGCTTATATTGGTTTTTTATATAGGGTAAATATTGTTTATTTATATTAATCTTGTATTGGTTCTCAATATTGAGCTTATATTGGTTTTGAATGGGATTTTAATATTGTTTATCAATATTGGTTTTATATGGGGCCTTTATTGGTTTTAATATTGGATTTATATGGGAAAATGTTAACAGAATAATATTATAGCAATATTGGTAAACAATATAGAGCCCATAAAAAGTACAATATTGCGCCACGATTCATTTCTACTAGGGATTGGTCTTTTATGTGGAAGAATTGATCTATAAATATCAAATATAAAGTATTATTTAGTAAAAATTATAATAAAAAAATTATAATTTTTTCTTCACAGGAGTATCCAGTCCGCTTTCAAATAACCACGTTGGAAATAATCTTAATAACACACAAAATTCTCGAAACTATGTAACAGTTTCGTCCAAGTAAGTATTTTTTAAAAATAGCACAAATAGGGATATCAATTAAATTTATTCAGTATTAAATGTGCAAATAAAATATAACTTTTCTTGGATCTTATATTTAAAAAAAAAATAATTATGCTTTTATGCTAAGTTTCTTCAAAGCGACAAAAACAAGAAGAGTTTTATTTTTAATTTTATCATCCATCCAGATTTTATTTTACAATGCCAACGTATTTTATAAAAAAATGTATATGTTTTATTTGTAAATTATTATTCCTTTCAATAACATTTTTTGTTACAAGAACAAAATTTTTATAATAATAGTTTGATAAATAATTAATAAAGATTGTAAAAACTTGTTTGCAGATTTAGAAGAGATTTTAAATACTGTTTAAATACTCTTATTAATTTGTATTCACTTTTATCTATTTATTCCTTTACAATAAATCAAAATTTGAAAAGCTTGATAAATAATTAATAAATATATTTTCCCTACAGATTCAGAAGAAATTGTGGAAAACAAACCATATTAAAAGTTTTAATATTGATCATTGCAATTCTTCTAATAGCTGTAATAGTGTTGGCAGTTTTATGTAAGTTATTATGTAAAAAATTAATTTTATATTTTAAAATATTTACATGTTTCCTTGGGCAAAAATTATCAGATGATCGATATTGTTGAGTAAATACTCAAAAAAATCTGAAAAAACTTGTTTTTTACCTTACCTAATTGGACTATATGGAACTTACTATTGTTTAAATAATCCTACTATCATTTTCATGAAATGTACTGTTTTTCATCAAGTTTTTATCAGATTATTGTAAATTTAAAACATTTATTCCTATTATTAGGACAACAGTGTTAGAGCCCAATAATCTATTATAACAATTCGAAGTAGAATATTATACTAAGTCCTTTTATAAGTCATCTACTTCATTTATAAATTTCACGTTTTCCACAAAGTTTTTCCTCGTCATGCAATGAAGAAAAACTTTGTGGAAAACGTCTCATCGCATTTCAATTTTATTGTCTGAAGTTTATTTTTACGAAATAAAACGTTACTTGTAATTCAAGGCAAATTGTACGACAATCGACATTGAAAGTTTTACTCAAGAACTGTAAAGGACACAAGTTAAAAATAAATTGTTCTTGTGTTTTTTACAATTCTGCAGAAAAACTACTTGTTGAAAGGATAAAAGATGGAAATAATTTAACATTGAATATAACGATTTTATATAAATAATATAAGTAATATTGTAATTGAGTATAACGATGTGTATTTAATATTTAATTATCTATTTTTGAATTCAAAGTCATTTTATTCGAAATATTTTTATAGGACTGTATGCAACTGTTGGCATGGAGTCGTAGTAAATTTTATCTAGTTTCTGCCAAGCCAACTAAAAAAGAGTGCCCCCATATGAAGTTTGTGAAATATTTGACAAAAACTGAAATATGTCTGAAATTGAATTCAAAGTCATTCTATTCAAAACCCTTATATCGGGGTGTATATAACTGTTGGCATGAAATTGTATCAAATTTTATAAAAGATGGCCCCCATATAAAGTTTGTGAGTTATTTGACAAAAACTAAAAAAATGTCCCAAATCCACTATGAAAAATAAAATTCAAAGTCGTTTTTGCTAAGTTCGTCAGAAAAACTACTAGCTTACAAAATAAGGTCAAATTTTGCTTTCAATAAATAATAACTTCTGCTAAATTTGATGTCAAAATGACTTGGAACATCCAGAAAATAAAGTAGCAAATCGGATTTTCTGTCAAAAATATAAACTTGAGAAAATTCAACCAGCAATCAACCTACAACTACAACTGTTATTTACTTTATTTTAATCACATTACAATACATATAGAATATTTAATACAACCCAAAATTAAAGTCAATAGTTAATATTTGTCTGTCATATTTTTCTATAGAAATCTAGATCAACGTAATTTATCGAAGTTATCTATATTATCGTTTAACAAAAACTCTATATAAGTTTTATTTTGTATGGCAATCAATTTGGTTAAAATTTGGAACGAGGTTGAATAATTTATAAGCGGAAAAATATTTTGTTTGCCGTGAAAATCGAATTAAACCCGATTTGACTTCACGAACCTTGTACTCGATAAAGGTACTAAATAATTAATATTATGTGCCACATAATTGTATTTCACTTTATTAATATTTTACAATTACTAATTGATAATTATAACTCAGAGAATTGATTTATATTGTGTTTTGACAAACTGTGTTACAAATATTTTAATACTGCAATTCAACTTAATTAGAATTGATATTTAGCATCTGAGTTCTGTGTATTACAGATCTATCTATAATAATTTATTTAGTACTTAATTTTATTTAGTAAAAATAAAAATGCTTCCTTCAAAATATACCAATTTATTTTAGTGTTGCTTGTTTCGCAATCTTCATGGCACGAGAGTTTATTTTACATAGTTTTTAACATTAACATAAAAATGGCGGATATATGGGATGATGGGAGAAAAACACCATTACCAAAATCACTAAACATAATTTCAGTACATTTGAATTTTTTTTAACTTTAAATTTAGTTTTTATATAATTATCACTTTAATATTTTAGTTACTTATATCTAAATTTATCTCTATCTATTTCTTAGTTTTTCAATAGGCCGTATGCAGTATGTTAAATCAATAATTCGATTAGGCAATTCAATCATATGACACAAAAACATTTCAACGAATGCTAAAAAAAACTTTGCCGCAACATCATTCATTATTCATTTAATAATCACTTTGTAAACGAAAAAGGCTTTGTAGACGAATTAAAACTTTGTGCAAATAAAAAACTTTATCTATCGTACAAATTATCAAACAAAAGTTCAATAGTTTTATAAGATTTTATAGATTTTTTAAAGTTAGGACTATAGATAAAATTCATATACTACTAGTCTAAAAAAAATAAAACTATATATAAGTGGTATTTTGCCTTAAGTTGTATGGACTTCTCGATATATGCAAATATAAGTTGATTATTTGCACATATCGAGAAGTCCATACAACTTGCTTTAAGGCAAAATACCACTTACAACTAGCTTTATCTTATTGGAATTGAGAGTTAGCAACTTTAGAAATTGTGAAGATTAAAATTTTTTAAATTTTGACATGGCTCCTTAAAACTTTGATGAGTTTCAATAATATAAAGCATTTTCCTTATTATTATATGAAGTATCATCAAAATCGTCAAAACAAATCAATAGTAAATTAGAACGATATTTATGTGATATATATCGTTAAATTTTTTAAAGGATTTTTCAAGATTTTTAGCTAAAACTTGGACAAAAAGAACAGCTAATTTAAAAGAAACTGAATTATCAAATGGTTGTAATTTATCAAATAGCTCATAAATTTTTGAAATCGGTGCAGCAGTTTCTGAGAAAAGTTTGACAAAAGGTCAATTTTGATATCAGAAGATTCAAAACGACCTAAAACGTCGAGAAACCATGAAATTAGCTAATCAGACTTTTTCTTGGAATTAAAAAATACTAGGAAAATTCTAGTATCTAATAAAATTTAATTAATTAATTCAATTTTAATAATTAATTAATTCAATTTTAATAAATTAAATAATTTCAAAAGATTAGCAGAAATGAGATTTCATAATACGTTGGACAAAGTTTTTTTAAAAATTATGGACATTTTTTTCATGAAAAGTGTTTTTTTTCGAAAAATATAAATATGACAAGATATATCAATGTGTTTATAAATACTATAATATTATTTTATATAAATAAAGAGTCTTAGAAGTTATCAATAAAATTTTTGTAATAAAAATTATTACAATTTTGAGCAGTTTCTAAATACTGATCATGGAAAAACTTATAATAGTATTCAAATATGTCTATATATTTTTATTTAAAAAATAAAATAAGTAATAAATAACTAAATTAGTATTATCAATCTCATTTTGAGTTCTAATATTTATTATTTTATAATAACTCAAACATTTAATATATCATCGATTTAAGATTTATTTTTATTAGTTATTTAGTTACTTTGTTTTGATAGTAGAAATATGATTTTTAATAAGTTTTAAAAAAAAATCTATTCTAAATTCAATAGTTTGCAAGTGATTAGGAAAAATTTAATATTTTTTTAAATATAAATTATATGGGCAAACTGGTTTTGGTCCTAATTTTTTACTGTGAACCGATTTACATGAAAATTTGGAATTAGGCTCATCTTACCTTTAAGTTCGGAAGGTAAAAATTGAACTACCTGCTACAAAATTTGTTTATTAAAAAATTTCGTTATAATGAATATATTTGAGGGGCATTCATTAATCAAGTGATTGACTTTTAAGGTCCTTTTAAACTCCTTTCCTCTTGCTTTTACGTGGTGATATTCAAAATTAACCCCCTGACCAACATCAAGTGTATTTTTAGTACAAAGAAAATCGAAAAATTTTGGGATTGTTTTGAAAAATATTAGGATTTTTTTGCTAAACCCCAATTTCTCGAGGTGACATTTTGTGTTTTTTTTGTCAAACCTCTTTGCCCCTTTTCAGCCTCATGTATGGACTCTTTAAAGATATATGCAAAAAAAAGATGAAAAACGTAAGAAAGTCAGGCTTTTTTGAAAAATTGTATGAAATGTGTTTTTCTTAAAATTAGGCTATTTATCAATATTAAAAAATTTGGTCACAAAAAAGCAACCTCTCCCATGCTGGGTGTGGAGTTCAAAATTCACTTTATGAATTTTTTACTTTGAAAGTTAAGGGCAAGATGAACCCAATTCCAAAATTAGATGCAAATCGGTTTATATTTAGAAAAAAACGGTGGCAGCGCCTTATTTTATGCTCCAATGACTGTCAGATTTGACAGTTCTTAATAATGCAATCTTATATTAAAAACTGTCACAAATTGTTAATATGTCAAACTATAATTACTCTGTTATAAATGTAAACGGTTTTATATATTATATATCTACCTAGACAATATTAAAATATAATTAATCGCATTATATCTTTTATTTACATTTTTGTAACGACAAATGACAAGTTCTGAAGCGTTAAAACAGTTTGACACCGTTTAACGTACATCTTATAGGCAACATAAAATCATTCTCTAATATTATTTAAGAGAATTTTGCATATACTACAGTGTTTAATAATAATTATTTTTATAGATTACCTTAGAACCAATGGAGTCTGCGAAACCCAGGCCTGCATCAGAGCCTCCAGCATGTTGGCTTTGAGTATGAACCGAACTTTAGATCCTTGCGACGATTTTTATAAATATGCATGTGGAGCTTGGCATATGGAACATCCAAGGTAATAACACAACACTAAATTTACAAATTAACGTTTTTATTTAACAAATTAGTTAATTTATTGTTGACTAACAAGTATGAACTGTTTTTGCAACTGACAAACGTCAAACGCCAAAGGCGCCATTTTGATATTTGCAAGTGTTGCCAACAGCACTTCAAGAAGACACAAAATTGTTTACATATATCGATAAATGTATTTTAAATAAACTTTACAATTTAAGATTAGAATTTTGAAATTTACATTACGTATTTCTATTTAATGAGTTTTTTAATTGCAAAACTTTATATAATGTTTATATATTATATGAATAAACTCAAAAAATCTGTTGGTAAATGTGCAACTTCACTTCATTGAAATGTCAAATGAATTTGAATTCAAATTGTGAAGTAAACTGTAAAATTTCAGTTCTTGATTATAAATGTTGAAGAAATATTATTTTATATAATTTATGTATGTGTTTTTTAGACCAAGTGAATCATCTTCATACGATTGGTTCAACGACCGCCAAACTCGAATTTTGCGCCAAGTTCGAGACTACCTCAGATTGGAACCGGACACCAAACAAAAACTACCATTACCTCTAAAACAATCACGTTGGATGTACAAAGCCTGCATGGATACCGGTTTGTATTTAAATATATGTACAACCTCCTTACAAACAACACTATTTATTACTTTACTTTTAGAAAAATTGGAGGACCTTTCGTACGCACCCATTGTAAACTATCTTCACTCCATTCAAATGCCGGCTGTCCCGACATATTTTTTAGATAAAGTAGACGTTACAAATATGTTTTCAAATTTGACTAATTATGTTATGAATAATGAAGGCGCGTATATTACAAATTTTGATTGGATTATTACTTGTGCAGCTCATAAAAGATTGAGTACAGCGGATCTTTTAATCGGTAAATAAATTTCAAACACACATTTGGTAAATCACAATAAATTGCTTTGTTGAATATGCAAAGTTTGTAATTTTGTCTTAAAATAGGTTTTGCTGTGTATCCTCATCCAATGAATGGTTCCAGAACTATTATGCTGGTTGGATCTCCTGAAAATACTAATCCGTTGCCGAGGTATAAATAAAAAGTTTAGATAACGTCCTGTACCCACGTCTACAATTGAAACGTTCCAAATTTTTTAATTAACTATCCTATATTTTTTAATATCCTATTTGATGTCCTGTCTTTGTGATTCATTTATCGTCTTTAGCATAAGCAGTATAAAAAAAAAATCAGAAAAAATATAGTATCTGGGGTAAAAGTACAATATCACACTTGATTTTACCACACAACATAATTGCTTCAATAATTTAGTCTATAACTCTCATACATTAGTTGTTTTTTGGCAATTATAATTTCTAAAGTACATATTTCCTACTAGTAATTTAATACACATCATTGTTTATGTTCAAATCTTAGATGAATCAATTTGTAAAATCTAGTTCATATGTGCATTATTCAATCTAAGATCAACTTGCTAAATATTCCATATCCAATGCCAAACAAATAAATTTTTCAGACATGTGACAAAATTCTAAATCATTATAATAAGTAGAAATATTTTTTGTATTGTTAAATAATTTAGTAAAGTAAACTAAAATGCGACATGCATTAGTTTAAAAAAAATTATTTGCAATTTTGGATTTAATTCAGTTTTATTAAACATTAAAATTATTAAATATAATTGCATCTGCCAACTGTTGACTGTATCTTATATTCTTTCTATTTCTGGCACATCTCAGCTGCTTTACGGCAATAATAATGTAGACATTACATTTTTCCTGTACATTTTATTCTAATACTATCTAGGCTCATAATGTGACATTAGAACAAAGTCAAACCTGTTTTTCTCTTGCAACTTGTCCTCATGAAAACCGCCATAAAGAATTATTTTATTAGGGTAAGAAATATAATTCTATGATTCTCTCTTAACTTTTCTACTAATTAGTGCCATTCGATTTTCATCTTTCTTTAAAAAAGTTTGTGTGTTTTTCAGCCGTGTAAATGACTAAATCGATTTCAAAAATTTAAAAACCATTTGATGAAACTTGAAGAAGACTCGATATGCTTTTGATTGTTTTGTATTGTTAAATAATTTAGTAAGGTAAACCCAAATGCGATATGCATAAGTTTAAAAAAATAATGTATATGCAATTTTGGACTTGTTGCGTTATGTATTAAACTGAATTACATAATGTCATCTGCCAAACATATACTGTTGACTGTATCTTATATTATTTTAATTTCTGGCACATCTCAGCTGCTTTACGGCAATAATAATGTAGACATTACATTTTTCTTGTATATTACGTTCTAATATTATCTAGGCTCATAATTTCAGCTAAATTCAAATTTCAAGTAAATTGACATTTCTAACAGATCAAATGTTTTCAATGTCAAACAATGATAAGTGTTTTTTTGTAATTTTTGCCATTTATTTCTACATTATTACCATAGCTGGGCATTAACTCGTTAATCCGTTAATCGTTAATTAACGAAGTTAACATTTTGATTAACGGATTAACTTTTAAGTTAACTTTTAAAAATGTTAACGGACACGTTAACTTCCGTTAAAATGCAAGAAGTCCGTTAATCGTTAATCCAATGCCTACTATTTACCGCACGGCACAGCTTTAGCCATAGGCTTTAGCCAATGCCTTATTAAACGGCATAGAGAAAAGATTTGGACTACTCCTGAATGATGAACAGTGCCAACTTGCCGCGGCATTTCACCCAAAGTTTCGGTTAATGTGGCTGTAAACGTATGGCAGCAGTAGAGAGGAATGCAGTAAGAAAATGCACGGAAAAAAAGGTAGATGATGCCTTATGGCAAGAAGCAGCGAAAAATTCGAAGGACAGAGATAGTTTAAGTGGCGGAGGGAGCAATGCGAGTAACAACGATGATGACGAGAAGGAAGACTTTTTCAATTCTGTCACTCAGTCTATAGAAAAACCAAAGAGCTACAAACTCTTTAAAGAACTAGCTGTAAGTGGAATTCTGTCTTAAGGCAATTAAGGCATCGTGCCTTAAGGCAAATTGCTGGAACTTCCCGTACCAAAAATTATTATATTTTTAAAAACGATTAACATTTTTGAAAAAAAATTACTTCGAAAAAATAAGATTTTTGAGAAACTATAAACTATTGGACAAAAAATTAATTTTTTTTAAAAAAAAAAAAATGTTTTCTTTATTTTGACATATTTTGGAAGATCTGAACTTTTTTTCAAAGCAATTTTACTGCTTTAGGACTGCATAGAGACAAAATATAAAGCGCGTAAGCGCCGCGTCGCCGTCTAACAAATAAACATTGGTACGGAACCCAAAGAAATGCAAACAACTTATTGTTAAAATCTCTATAAAATATCTGACAATTTGATGTGCATATGTCTAATGATCATTTTGACCGCCAAATGGCATTTTTTTTTACTTTTTTCATTAGATCTCCGAAACCGCTAGACCTGCCTTCATGAAAAATTGATCAGTTCTTCATAATTGTCAATACAAGTAAAATGTTTTTTGAATTATTAAAATCGGACGCTCCGTTCTCTTAAAAACTGAGTTACCGTTTTTGGGTCAATTTTGCCCCATATCTTCGGAACGGCTAGACCTGCCTTTGTCAAAAACTAATCAGCACGTCTTCTTGTCAATACGAATCGAATGTTTTTTGAATTATTCAAATCGGTTGATCCGTGTTCCCGAAATCGTCGACGAAAATTTGTATCCATACACATACATACACGCACACACACACATACATTCATTTTTTCTAAGGTATGCCAAAATATTCAGAAACGTTTGAAACGTCGAGAAATGCAAAAATTTTCATTTTCGATTTTTTTGCGATTACTATAACTTGCCCTACGGGAAGTTAAAAAAACTCTTTCCCTTTATTTAGAAAAAATTCTTGTAAAAACAATATGCAATCATAAAAACGGAAAGTTGACCAATAGCGTTATCACGGTATGTGATAATTGTGCCATTTTCCTTATACACACGGAAGTGTGCATAAAACGCGCGAGGGGTTAAATTACACATTTGAATTATACAAGTATTTTGTTTTATTCATAACCTGTTAACTTCCAGAACCTAAACTAATAAGTTTTTTAAGTTCACTAACGCAACGATATAAAAATGTAATTTTACACATATTAACGGATTAACGATTAACGTTAACTTGCGTTAATTCTTCCGAAATGTAACGCTTTAACGTTTAACGAAGTTAACTTTTTTTGTAGCGGATTAACGATTAACGAAGTTAACTATTTGATTAACGGTGCCCAGCTATGATTATTACTATAGTTTTATCGTTCATTAAATCTTAAAAATTTCCTTTAACAAACTCCAAAAACATTTATCAAAATCCGATTAACCGTTTAGGAGACGTGTCAAATCATATACCCGTACAGAAGAATTTTATATATAAGATAACAAAAATTTTTTTTTTTTTTTTTTTTATATATATTTTTAACAGCGATCAGAACTATGAGTTCTATGAGCTGTTGTGATCAACTATTTTACAATTATTATAGATGGCAACCCAAACAGTTGTCCCATCTCTATGAGCTGAATTTTTATTTTTTATTACAATTGTTGTAATAGTGATGACTTTTACTTCCAAGTGGCATGTTGCCACTACAGCTATGCCCACGAAAGGCCATTTTCACTTGAAATCATATTTGAAAATCTATAATTTCAAGTGAAAATTTGGTATCAAGCTGCTTTGATACCGAACCGACCGAGGTTGGATTCGAACCCGGGACTAGGATTTGCTAGCCCACGTTCTTACCACGGGACCACGGCCGGCCCCAAGATAACAAAAATAGCAAAATTTAAGTTTGTCAAACTTGTCTTTCTAGTTACAAAGAGTTGTCTAAACGTTTGGAAAAAGTGCGACGTGCCATGAGTACAAAAGAACGTTCTCCAAATCAAAAACGTTACCTAACTTTCATTCGTGACGTCACTTTAAATTACATAACTGAAGTGACTCAATTGGAAGGGACTCCTCCAGTTGACTTGATGCAAAGACTGGATGATGCTGCTGAAGCAATTTATAATCTGGAAGAGAAACTTTACGAGGTAAATTATAAACTTATATATAAAAATGTAGCTCTCGATCAAATGATTCGGTAAAACTCGAAAACAGCTAAACCGATTTGGCCAGTCTTAGTCTTGAAAAATTTGTGCTAATCAGTAAGTTGTCGGAAATACGAGATATTATTTCAAACTCGCGTAGAAACTTTACATTTTTAATTAGAAAATTTTTCTAGAAGCGTAATTTGAATAAAACAATGGACGGTGGCTAATACGTCAAATGTCAAACGTTTTCGACAGATGATGTTCAATTACGTTTAATAGGATGTTTTACGTAAATATTATTTAATTATGATTAAATTGTAGTAAGTAGTTTTGTTTGTAGTTTTATTTATGCACAAAAACGTTATTAAACGGGTCGCAAGAGTTACTAGAAACTCAAAATATCAACTTTTTTGAAATGTTAATATAAAAATGCTCTTTTGGCATTGTAGCACCCTTTTTTTGCAAATTGTATTTTTCTCAAACACGGCGCTCTGAAAGATCTCATTTGTATAATTATATACTCATTGGTATTTATAAAACATTTTCTAGGTTATATTATTTTTTATTTATGTTATTTAAATTCAGAACCTAAATTTGGTATCGATCAAAAAGGACATTTTGTCGAATAACATTTTCCCAGTTATAATTTCCCAGAATTTATCGAAAATAGATAGTAATATAAGAAGGTTTGGGGTCAAAAAGGTCTACCATCGATGTGTCAAAAACCAGTAAAGTTAAGCATTGTTTAACAACAATATTTGAAAGTAGAGGGAAAATTTTGTATAACTAGCTATAACCGTGATTCTCATGACTTTGCTATCGGGAGATAAATGGTAATATTTAAAAATCCATAATAAAAGTATTTTCTTTCGTTAGTAGTTTTTTAGCATTAGTTAAAAATGTAATTATTTTGTAAAATCCTTTAAAATTAAAATAAGACATTAAACCTGTTTGCCACTTGACCGTTCCAAGTTACCCCGCCTGTAGCATAAAAAGGTCTTGATAAAAAATGTTTGAAAGACAGCAAAAAAACACATTTCTACAATGATGAAGTAGCTGACAGTTTTACTTAATGTAGTCAGATAATTGTTTGTTTGAAATGTGTTATTTGTTGTGATATAATTGGTTTGATTATTATAATATAATTAATATTTGCTCAAAGTCAAATTGGACCTTTGTGCCTCGCCCTGCTCTACATATATACTTTTTATTGATTTTATTTAAATTCATCAAATGTTACTTGAAACTTTTCAAAAAGCAGGTCAAAGAACAAATACTTAATTCATTTTCTATCTCTCTTCGCAGAAATTTGAAAATTATGTATAAGCTTAGTAGTGTTATTTACAATTATTCACAAAATTCAGAATCCAAAAAGAATGTGAAAAACTTGAAACGTAATCAATAAGTCGAAAGACCAAAAAAAAAGACTTGGATCGGATTATACCATGTTTTCTATAGAAAGTGTATAAAACTTGCAGTTTGATTGTATTGACAAAATATAGACAAACTAATGGAGTTTATTGTTTTTATAATACCCCATTGTATATAGCATTCAAACACATCCTTATACACCAGAAGTATTAATATTGTTGATTCTCTAGAAATTGTTTAGAATATACCTTACTTAGCAAAACAACGTTTGCCGGGTCAGCTAGTAACTTATACTTTTAGTAGAATTATTCAGTAAAATATTTATTTTTTTACAGATAAACGAAATGGCCAAAAACATCTCGTTGAATTCAACCGCAGATCTGATGTCGTCGATGAAAGAAATAACTGTCGAGGAATTACAGGTAAATCAGCAAGTCAAGACAATTTTATTTAAAATATAAAACAGTTGATATATTTACCAGACCGAGACAAATCTTTGTTTGGATGGTGAAGTCGATTCCGACAAACAACCCCATGATTTGTGGTCGCGATACATCCAAAAATTATTTGAAGGTATACAATCAGGAGTCAATGTAACTGGAGATAAAATTCTTATAGACGATTCGGTGAGCACGTGTTAACTTTATTACATTTAAAGGCAAAATTTAGAACAAAGTATTTTTCAGGAAATATTCTACTTATGTTCAATAAATCGTTTAATGCATACACATCCAGCACGAGAGTTAGAATTGTATTTATGGTGGCAAATTATGGAAATCCTTAGTGTACATACAACTAAAACCATGAGACAACTGTATGATAGATATGCTGGTCAAGTATTAGGCAAAACAGTTTGCCAAATAAGGTAAATTAACTAGTTTTTATTTTATTTCTTACATAATGACAAATATATACAGTTCAGGTACGTGAACTAAAAAAACATATTCAAGGAACATTTTATTTATGACTATATGATAACCAAATCAATGGTAATCACAGATGAAACTAGCTTTAAATGCACCAAATTTAATGGTGATCGCTCTTCAAAAACTCTTCATAATCGATATGTGTAAATAATCGACTTAATCAATAATAAATAAATTAATTTATGAGTGATTAAAAGTATTCCGAGTGGATTTATTACACATAATTGAAAACGAACGAACACGTTAACTCGGAGTATTTTGTAAAAGCAAATTCTCGAAAATCAATAATTTTTATAACTGAACCAGTTTCCGTAGGACTTTAATGGTTTAGTATGTTCAAAAAGACCACGTACTAAGTAAATCGTCTAATTTTAATTTTAACAAACGTCAAAAAACTTCTCAATTTTTCAAACTTTGATGAATTTTTAAAATTAAGCTACTTGTCGTAAAGCAGTAATATTTCAGTAAGTTCTATAAGACCATAATATATATCGCCAAAAAAGTTCCATAAAAATCGGCTTAAATTTTTTTTTTCAACAGTTATTTACAAGAAAACGGCTCGGTAGGTTTTCACCTAGAACTAATCAGTATCATTCCCAACTAATATCTTTTGAACAGTTTTTGATTTTTTTAAATCGTTTCGGTAGTATGACTTTAAATGTGAACGAAAAGTTTAACACTTTTTTCCAAATTACAAAGATACGGCTCGGCAGATCGTCGCTCAAAACTGACAAACGATAGTCCTCATTGAGATACATCAAATGGTTTTTAAATTTCTGAAATCGGTTTAGGTGTTTTTGAGCAAACGTCGATCAAAGGTCTAATTTTGACAAATGCCAAAAAATGATACTAATTTTTGCAAACTTTGACGAATTTTTAAAGCTAAACCAGTTGTCGTAGGGCCTAATATTTTAGTATGATCTAGAAGACTATGATCTAGAAGACTATAGTCAAAAAAATAATAATAAAAATCGTCGAAAAAGAAATTTTTAACACTTTATTACAAGAAAACGGCCCGGCCGATCTTTACCAAAAACTAATTAGCACGATTCCCAACCAATATCTTTCGAACAGTTTTTGAATTTTCAAAATCGATTTGATGAATTTAGCCAATATTGGAAAACAGATACACAACAGTGTCCCAGAACTCAACGTCACGGGGTGATAGTATACATTAAAAAAAAAACTGTATAGTTTGAAAATTGAGAATTTCAGTGTAACCTAAAGCTACGGAACTGTGAACATTTTTGGTTATTCTATGGTTAATTTTTATTATTATTGTTTATTTAAACAGTACTAACTAGTGTGGTGGGTGGCATCGTGCCCTGAGGCAAATTGCTGGAACTTCCCGTAACGTAACGAAATGTTCGAGGAATACTGAATTTTTTCAAATAGATTATTATAAATATTGTAACATTGTCTAATATTTATAAGAATTATATAAACTGAATTGCAAAGTTGAAATTATTTGTTTAAAGTATATCAGAACTTTAGTCAGAATTAAAAATAACATGTGAATTATTATTTTCGATATACAAAAAATTAAAAAAAAAAAATTGAAACAATTTTTTTTCCAAAATCAATTATTTTGTTAAGACAAGCAGAAAGTTCTTTGAATCAATTGAATCTGACGCTTAGTTCTCTCAAAAACTGCCATTTTTTGTACGTTTCGCTCTGTATCTCCGAAATAGCTGGGCCTACCTTTGCGAAAAACTAATAACCCCTTTTCCCAATTATTACTAATTGAATGTTTTTTAGATCATTCAAATCGGATGCTCCGTTCTCTCAAAAACTCGATTTCTATTTTCTGCACTCTTTGCTCGTTATCTCCGTACCTGCTGGACCTGCCTCTACCAAAAACTAATCAGCACATCTCCTTATCAATAGGAATCGAATGTTTTTTAAACCATTCAAATCGGTTGATCCGTACGCCCGAAAACGTGGGCGAAAATTTGTATCCATACATACATACACACACGCACACACACATCCATTTTTTCTGAAGTATGCCAAAATGTTCAGAAACCTTCAAAACGTCGAGAAATGTAAAAATTTTCAATTCCGATTTTCGGCCCATTACAATAACTTACCCTACGGGAAGTTAATAATAAACAATACTTTGGAATCGTAACGTGAATAACAGTCCTAGGACCACAATCTAAATTAATGACACAATTTCCCACAAGTTGTCTAAAATTGTAATTATTTTCATATAATTTTTTTAAAATCGGTCGACTTTGAGAGCCCCTGTTTCAAAAAAATTGTACTAAAGTATGTAGGCACACACATACTTTCTCCAAATGGTCTCATTCGATTCAGAATGGCTTGAAACATTGAGAAAACATAAAATCAACTAATCGGATTTTTTGATGAAAACATAAACTTCTACTTCGGGAAGTTAAAAATACCACCTACAATTTAGTCTTTTACGAGTATTTTTACCATGTATTATTTTTAGGACAAGTCACTGTACCTCCAAAGTCACCGATATGTTCGGTATGGCACTTGGGCGCACTTTAGCAACGGAATCCTTTATTATTGAAACCAGGCCGAGGGTTGCAGAAATGTTGAGAGATATCAGAAAAGCTTTCGAGCAATCTGTTATGAAGGAACAAAAGTGGATGGATGCTGCCACAAGGGTTGCTACTGCTGATAAATCGAGACGAATGAAGGAACATATTGGATTTCCTGAATGGCTATTGGATGACCAGAAATTGGAACAGTATTATAGAGGGGTAAGTAGATACTTAAAATTATCTTATATATAAAAATGAATCGCAAAATGTGTCGGTAAGCGCATAACTTAACAACGCCTGGACCGATTTGTCCAATTCCATTTTTAAAATGTTCGCTGAAGTCCCAGGATGGTTCTTACGGCGAGAAAAAATCGAATAATTGCCGGGCAAACCCTAAAAACAGCCCTTTCTCTTTTTCTCATACAAACGTTTCCTAACTAAAACGTAGAATCAATTTGAGCTTTATGACTATTGTGGGAGTTTATTCTATTATATCCATTACGACTCCCACATTGGTGACCTACCACGATTGAAATGAAGACAAAGAAGGAGTTTTATTTGACAAGTCCAATTGTTTATTTACAAACACTAGCCTGCTTCATTTCCCCACACTATTATATAAAGTTTATATTAAATCACAAGCACTCACTGTATATTCCATCTAAACGATTATGCGGATTTTGATAAATCTTTTTGAAGTTTGTTAAAGAAATTTTCTAGGATGTATGTGATTATAAAGTACTGGGATGTATGTGCAATATTGTAGAAGTAAATGGAAAAAATTGCAAAAAACGACTTGTGATTGTTTGGATTGAAAACAAATAAAAACAATGATCTACCAAAAGTTTCAATTTACTTATGAACCTAGACTATGTTGGAATAAGTATAACAAATTTGTGATTATGAATAAGAAAAATGAAACGTCTATATTATTATTGACAAAAAGCAGCTGAGATGTGCCAGAAATTAAAATAATATAAGATTCAGTATATGTATGGCAGATTGAATGATGCACATATGAACAGGATATGACAAACTAATTCTCTTAAAATATGAAATTAAGTATTAATCAGAGTCGGTCCTATCTTGAATACGATGCATGCGAAAAATACGAGCGCACTACTTAGGGGGCGCCAACACAAAATACGGATATTAAATTTTCAATATAGTTTTTTAATACATAATTTCTTTGCATCTGTTACTAATCGTTCCATAATATTTTTAAAATTTGTAAAAATTTCACTTTATAACAACTTTATAAGATGAATACATACAATTCGGCCCTCACGATATCGATTAGGAGAAGTTTAAGATGCAGGATATTGAATAATAAAAAATTAAATTAATTCAATCCAACATGAAGTACCTTGTAATGTTATGGGGATGGCTATTTTATACCGTTTAAAAGACTTCAATTTCTAATATAGTGTGGGAATTGAGACTCATCATATTATTTAAAGCAATTATACATTTAACATTTCATATTATAAATGTATATGCATTTTGGCGTGAAGAGTAATTTAAAAAACAATAATTATTATTTTTAGGTAAACGGTAAATATTAGTATATTACATTAAAAAATTGTAGACATATGTACAGGATGTCGGATCATCTAGTATTTAATATATTTTTTATTTTTTTAGGTTTTGATAAGTGAATCCACACACATGGAAAATATGTTATCGGTGCTAAATTGGCGTATGAGATTGCAATTGGAGTCCTTGCATTCTGCTGAGGATGGCATGCATAATTGGGCTACGGATCCAATAAGTGTCAATGCTTTTCATACTTTTCAAACAAACGCTATAAGTAAGTTTATGAAATCAAACTATATAATAGAAATTATGGGGCAATTCTGCCGTAACAGAGCTCATAACATAGCGTTGTCGTGGCAACGCTATCTTATGCTTATTATTGGTCGTAATCTATCTATTTGCTGTGAGATCAAGCGTGTTTTACATATAAACTAGTGGTGTATGGCATTGTGCCTTAAGACAAATTACTGCTACTTCCCGTACCGTAACGAAATGTTCGAGGAATACTGAATGTTTTCAAATAAATTATTATAAATAAATACTGTAACATTGTCAGAATTACAATTATAATCTAAATTATGTTTGGTATACAAAAAAAAAGTTTTTTTTTCGCAAAAGCAATTGTTTTGTCAACACAAGCAGAAAATTTTTTGAATCATTCAATTTGGATGCTTATTTCTCTCAAAAACTGTTATATTTTGTACAAGTGAGGTTCACGTGAGGTTTTTAGAAGGAGGTAAGGTTTGACGAAAAATCACAAAAATTATTACGTGTATTTATTTTTTAACTGATTTTTTTCAAAAAATTCAGCAAAATTACAGCTTTTTCACGTAATTTTGAATATCACCAAAAATCCTTAAAAAGTTGCTTACGTGATTAATGGACGCCCCCTTATTATTATGTTTGAGATGTTAATTTAATAATTTAGTTTGACTTGGCAACTAATAACTACAGAAATTTTGATCTCATACTGAATTCTGTATAGTTGTTTAGTAGTAGTAGGTACGACTAAGGCGACTAAATTTTTGAAAAATATAAATAAACCTATTCGAATATGAAAATGAAATTTCAACAATTGTTAGCCAACTAAATTATTATTCTATAAAAACTAGAAAAAAAAAATCTTTTAAATTAATTGCACTAAATAGTGCAGAATTATTTTCTTAGAGGGTACGACTTAGGCAACCTCGCCCTATATAAAAAAGGAAAATAAAGAAAACATCCACCAAATGAAATTACTTTAAAACAATTCGATTTCAATACTTTATTTATTAGACAATTAGATCATAGACAACAATCGGTTTTATTAAAATTTTGGTAAAGGTTTTATAAAAAAAAATCAATAAGGCTGAAAAAAGCAGCGAAGTTTAGGTAAGACAATAAATTTTACCAATTGTTAGCCAACTAAATAATTATTCAATAAACAGTAAAAAAATCTTTTAAAATAATTCACTGAATAGTGCAGAATTACTTACTTAGGGGGTACGAGTTAGGCAACTTTACCCAATATAAGAAAGTAAAATAAATATAACTTTCACCCATCATCGAATAAAATTATTTAAAAACAGTTCTATTTTAATATATTATTTAAAAGACAATTACAATGGATTTAATAATTTTTTAAATGAAAAAATCAATAAGGCTGAAAAATGCAACAAAGTTTAGAAGTTAATCATAAAATTAGAACTTTATATTTAAAATTTTCAAAAATTTTAGAGCATTTATACTCTTCATATTAATATCTAAAATAATGTTTAAAATCTTTGTACTCAATTTATAAATTTCATTTGGTCGATTTTACAATTATAGATTTAGGACCAAAATTTGAGATTTTATGCTTTATAGAAATGCTAAACTTTTAGTAGTTAATATAGTAGAATTCTTTCTTCTCTCAATTTTATCACCAAATTCAGTGTTTTTTATCAATTAGCAATGAATTTATATTTTTGTAAAGATTTTTCTAAATATGTTGGACGCAGCTGTTCCAATAGCAATATTACAATATCCATTTTATCATCTTGGTCTTGAGTAAGTAGACACAAATTCAATGAAATCTAAAATTAAAAAAAAATATTTCAAGTATGATTTAATGTCTTATTACATTTATTTAAATATTTTAAAATTTTAGGGCTCTGAACTATGGTTCTTTAGGATCAATTCTTGGACACGAGTTGACACATGGATTTGATGATAGTGGTAATAAATATTCATCCATTAATTTTAATTTTTTTAACTATCTAAATATCTTCATCAAACTGAATTCAAATATACTATAATAAATATGAATAGAAAATTACTAATAGATTTTATTTTTAGGCAGACAATACGATAAAGAAGGAAATTTGCGCCAATGGTGGTCTGAAGATACAGTAGAAAAATACATTGAAAAAACCAAATGTTTTATTGACCAATATAGCAAGTTTTATATGCCGGACATTGGAGAATATGTAAGAAAATTTAACTATATACTGATTTTATATTATAATAATAAAAGTATTAATAAATTTGGCTAAAGATCAAATTTTGGTCGACATACACACGTATATTGTTTGATGCCAAATGATTCAAAATATAGAATAAGTAAATACAATTTTCTGACAAAAATATAAGCTTTTCCTCCGGAAAGTTGAAAATTAAAATAATTTATAAACAACTGTAGATAATTATTATAGATATTTTCAGTATTTGTAACTGGGTGTAAGTGGCATTTTACCTTAAAGAAAGTTGCATAAACTTAAATAATTGACATAAATAATAGGACTCAAAATTTAGCAACTTTTTATATTGTGAAATTTCAACTGGTTATTTCGAAAAAACGTTCGACAAAACTAGTCAAATTTTGGCATACCGTATTTTGGGTGTCGAATTATTCAAAATTCCTTGAAACATCTAAAATAAACATTAAATTAATAAACATTTTCTACGCAAAGTTAAAAATAAACTTAAGGCAAATTGCTGGAACTTCCCATACCGTAATGAAATATTCGAGAAATTTTAAACGTTTTCAAATATATTATTACAAATACTGTAACTTTCATTATTTTTGCTATCTTGTTATGTCCGAGCAAATCAAATGTAAATCATAAATCTCCAGAATTTATCTCCAGAACATTAACAATCGTCATTTCATTTCGAATTTAATTTCAAAAAAATAGTTGCCACGAAATTACACAAAATTGAAAAATTGCTCCCGTTTAGTCACAGTCTAAACGCATTTGCAAATAATTCTGTGCGATATTTTTACTTATACTGCGCTTAACTAGGCGGCATTTTCACATTTTTCAATAGTTTTCACAAAATTGGAAAAGTGCTCCAGTACATAAACAGTCTAAACGCTCTTGGGTAAACATTTGTACCAGAGTGGCGCTTAGACTGTGGGTAGCATGAGTAATTTTTTGAATTTTTAATCCAAAATTACAAAAATTTTTTATTGAAAATAAAAAATGATATAATAATTTTTTATCCTCAAAAGCAATTGTTTTGTCAATACAAGCAGAAAGTTTTTTAAATCATTCAAATCGGACGCTTAGTTCACTCAAGAATTGCCATTTTTGCACAGCTCTGTATCTTCGAAATGGCGGGACCTGTTTTTGCCAAAAACTAATCACCTCTTCTCCCAAACATTACAAATTGAATGTTTTTTAGATCATTCAAATCCGATACTCCGTTCTCTCAAAAACTCGATTTGTATTTTCTGCACTCTTTGCTCCGTATCTCCGTAACGGCTGGACCTGCCTTTGCCAAAAACAAATCAGCACATCTCCCTGACATTAAAATCGGTTAATCCGTGCGCCCCAAAACGTGGGAAAAAATGCGGACATACTAAACTAATTATCAAGAATTTTTTATATATTTGAGATTTATTGTGTTTGTATTTCAGATAAATGGTGAATTAACTTTGGGTGAAAATATTGCTGATAATGGAGGTCTTAGAGAAGCATTTGCTGCTTATCAAATATATATCAAGGAAAATGGAAGAGAATCGTATTTGCCAGGATTTGAAGACTTTACACACGAACAATTGTTTTTTCTATCTTATGGAAACGTAAGTAGAAGATGACAATATTTACTTCTAATCGACAGTTTGCTTCATTTTTCTCCGTTTTTTCTCTTCTTACATAAGTCGCCAATAATATGCATTATGGTTTGTCTTATTAGTTCTTCTTAGTTTTTCATAAGATAAGTAGAAGACACTCTTTTCTCACGATAAGTTTGATTCAGGTTACCTTCTACAATTATACCTAGCAGTTTTTTTTCTCACTCATTGCGTTTAGTGTAAAGAAGAATAAAAATAAACATGCCATCTAATTTGATTTAAAAAATCTTAAAAAAACAATGAATATTTCTCATTGAGAAAACTTGACAAATGCCATGGAAAATTTGCTCATCGTCACATAAAATTATATAGTAATCTAATACTTATAATAAAAAAAATTATAATAAAAAAAATTCACTACAGGACTTCCCCAAATATTGGTTCATTTAATCTTCCTTATTCTTCCTCAACAATACAGCGTAATATCTTGAAACTTATTTTGAAGGAGTTTTAGTCACACTTCTTTAGAGTCCTTTTTTTATCCACGGAGAGTCATTTCCTAAATCTTTAATATGTAGTGCTTATAATTTATTCTTATATTTACTTCATTTTTAAATTCCAGCTTTGGTGTGAAACTTCAACACCAGAATCTTCCCGATGGGCCTTAGAAGACGAACACTGTCCAGGAAAATATCGCCTTAGAGGTGTTCTAACAAATTCCAAAGAATTTTCCAAAGCTTGGAAGTGCAAATTAGGCAGTGGAATGAATCCTAATAACGATAAGTGTACTATATGGTGAATGCCCTAAATAGAATAATAATTTTCAGTCAAAAATATTGACTTGTTACAACTAATAAATGATATAGATAGGAAAATATCGCTTTAGAAGAGTTCTAACAAATTCCAGGGAATTTTACAAATAGATTGATAATATTTCAGTCAAAAATTGACTATTTACAACTGATAAATGATATTTTTGAAATAACGATAGAAGTGATTATAATGATATTTTGAAATAACGATAGAAGTGAAATTATAAT